CTGGGGTCCCTCTGCCGGGGTGGGCTCCCAGTGCCCCCATCGTGTGCTCGGCACCCCCATGGGCTGGCACCCCGGGACCCCACGGGACCCCAGGCTCTCTCTGCTGTGGGGTGCCGTTGCAGCCGGCCCCCGGTGAGGACAGTGGGGTGCTGCCACTAGCCACACGCTGCCCGTGGGAGGGTGCCACAGGCAGAGGCCACCCCCCTCCCACCCGTGCACGGGGTGCTGTAATGAACCCCGTGGGGTGCCACTGCAGCAGGTCCCTGGGGGTGACCGGGCAATGCTGCAGGTGGAGGCGGGGAGGTGTGTGAACCCCAAAATACCGTCTTGGGTCTTGCTGGCAGCATGGGCGCGGTGCAGCCTTAGGGCTAAAAGCAGCACTTGTGCAGCCGGTGGTGCCAATGGACCGCGCTGGGTGAGTGAGGCAGTGAGTGAGGGCTGGCAGAGAGATGCTGAGGGTTTCCCGTGGCTGTGGCGACCCCGCTGCAGCCAAGAAACCCTGCCAGGTTTTTGTTGGTTTTTTTTTTTTCCCCTCTGCAAGGCGCGTGGCGGTAATTTTTACAGTGCTGACCCCTCTCTGCTCCCCTTGCACAGGCGAGAAGCCCTACAAATGCACCTGGGAAGGCTGCACCTGGAAGTTCGCCCGCTCTGACGAGCTGACCCGGCACTTCCGCAAGCACACGGGCATCAAGCCCTTCCGCTGCTCGGACTGCGACCGCAGCTTCTCCCGCTCTGACCACCTGGCCCTTCACCGCCGGCGGCACATTATGATGTGAGGAGCCGAAGTCCCTGGGGCACCTGGCTGGGATGGGGGGGACAGCAGTGGAAAACGGGGGCGCATCCCCCCCCTGCTCCTCCGTGTGCGGTGGAGGGACTGTGGGAGCGGAGAGGCCGAGCTCTGCCTGGCGGTGAGCAAACCATGGCCGCTCCAGGAGCCCCACCGGCACAAGATGTAAAAAAGATGGTTTCCGGACTGGTTCTCCTCCCTTGCTCCCGTTTCTTCTTTTTCCTGGGCTTCTCCTCCCCACTCGCAACATCCGGAGGTTCCTCCTTGACTCCTCACCTGTGATTCACTCAGCAGCGGCCTCCAGACCTGCGCGTCTGCCTCATCGGCCTCTTGCCCGTCTCCATCTCATGTGCTCGCTGTCCCCTGCCCCCCTCCCAGTCCCCGTGGGCAAAATCTGGGAGCCATGGAAAGGACAGAGGCGAGGGGGGGGCTCTGCCATCGCCCCTGTGCAATAGCTGTCGGCCTCTTTCCTCTCCAGAAAGCTGCTGCCTCTCCATCCCCAGGCACTGCGTGTCCCTGTCCCGGCGGGAGAAGGGACCCCGGCACAGTCACCTCTCTCTGCATCCCTCAGCGTGTGCTGGGCTCCATGGGAGGTGCCGGGGGCACGCAGGAGGGCCAGCAGGAAAAGAAAAAGCAAGAAGGGGTGGGGGGAAAAACCAACAACCCAACAGCAACCCACGAACAAGGCCACCACCACCACCCACCAAAAAAAAGGGAAACTTTGCGGAACGTGGAACTGTGATTTTATGGAGTTTTAAGGGGGGGCGGGATGGGGTGGGGAGGGCGGGGGCTGCCAGCTCTCGGTTTTTTTTGAAGACTGTGGGACAGTTGAACCGTTTCTAAGTTAAAAAGGCAGACTGTGGCCACATGCTTTTCTTTTTAATTGTAATTATTAATTTTGTGGGGTGCCCCCCAGCCAAACCACCCCCCGGTTGCTGTGGGGGCAGCCCCACGCTCGTCCTGCGAGGGTGGCAGTATTCAGGGTTGGAGCCTTGGGGCTGTTGGGTGGTGGGAAGGGTGATGGGGAATGTGACACCCCCAGTCCCTCCCAACCAGTACCAGTGGGGCTGGTTGGGGGGTGCGGGGAGCTTCCCGAAAGCTCTCTCTGAGCCCGTGCCTTTGGCTCAGGGGATGCTGGGCTGCTTGGGGAGGGGAGATCTGGTGTGGGGAGGGCCTTGGAGCAGGGGGAGCAGAGAGCCCCAGCCCCTGAAAACAACTCTGACAGATGCTTGAGAAACTACTTTTCCTCTCTGCTTTCCATCTGCTGGCCGAGGCGTTTCATGGGGACAGAGCTTGTCCCCGGCCCTGCGGTGGCCCCCAACCCTCTTGGGGCTGGGCATGGCCGGAGGGTGAGTCTGGTTAGCGGCTGGTCACAAGTGGTGTTCCCCAGGGCTCGGTATTGGGGCAGGTTCTGTTTAATATCTTTATCAACGATCTGGAGGAGGGGATCGAGTGCTCCCTCAGTGAGTTTGCAGAGGACACCAGGTTGGGCAGGAGTGTTGATCTGCTTGATCCCTCTGCAGAGGGATCGATGGGCCCAGGACAATTGTACGGGGTTCAGCAAGGCTCAGTGCTGGGTCCTGTGCTTGGTCACAACAACCCCATGCAATGCTACAGGCTTGGGGAAGAGAGAGCGGCTGGAAAGCTGCCCAGCGGAAAAACGCCTGGGGGTGTTGGTCAACAGCCAGCTGAAGATGAGCCAGCAGTGTGCCCAGGTGGCCAAGAAGGCCAACGGCATCCTGGCTTGTATCAGAATTCGTGTGGCCAGCAGGACTAGGGCAGGGATTGTCCCCCTGTACTCGGCACTGGTGAGGCTGCACCTCGACTACTGTGTTCAGTTGTGGGCCCCTCGCTACAAGACAGACATTGAGGTGCCCGAGAGTGTCCAGAGAAGGGCAACCAAGCTGGTGAAGGGTCTAGAGCACAAGTCCTGTGAGGAGCGGCTGAGGGAACTGGGGTTGTTTAGTCTGGAGAAAAGGAGGCTGAGGGGAGACCTTATCGCTCTCTACAACCACCTGAAAGGAGATTGTACCGAGGTGGGGTCAGTCTCTTCTCCCAAGCAACAAGTGACAGGACAAGAAGAAAGGGCCTCAGGTTGCACCAGGGGAGGTTTAGGTTGGATATTAGGAAAAATTTCTTCACCGAAAGGGTTGTCAGGCACTGGAACAGGCTGCCCAGGGAAGTGGTGGAGTCACCATCCCTGGAGGTGTTTAAAAGACGTCGCACTTAGGGACGTGGCTTAGCAGTGGACTTGGCAGCATTGGGTTTGCGGTTGGACTCGGTGATCTTACAGGTCTTTTCCGGCCTACAGGATTCTGATTTTGGCGAGGTCTCTGTGTGTGTGTGTGCCCCCATCCCGCCACCTCTCCCCTCTCCCAAATCCGTGCTCACCAGCTGATTCGGCTTCTCCCGGGGCTGCACCCCCGTGTCCTTCCTTCACCCGGCGCGGCCCCAAATCCTCCCGGGAAGCACTGGCCTCAAGGAGGCAAGAAACCCCAAAGGGGGAGGCTGTGAAAACCCTGGGAGTTCGGGGGGCTGCTCTGTTCCTCCGAGGCTTTGGGGTCAGCACTGCTGGTGGCCCTGCGGGACCCCCCCCCCAGCGGGGGACTCCATCTTGCCCCCCCTGCTGTTTCCCAAGCCTCGGGGGCGGGGTGGGTGGCAGGGTGCATTTCTGTTTTCTATTTTGTTGTTTAAAAAAGAAAAAAAACAACCAACATGCAATTTTAAACTCTTGAGCTGTGATATTTATACAAAACTGTTTGACGTTTTTTCTACACAGGAATAATATTGAAAGTAGATGAGTTTCCTCTGTGTGTGTCTTGCTTTGCCGCAGCGGTGGGGCAGGGAGAGGGACCGGGACCAGGGCAAAGCATGGGCAGCGGGAGGTCTCCTGCCTCCTCTGTGCCAGGAGGAGAGGGGCCGAGCTGGGCAAAACAGCGTTTTTTGGTTTAATAATCTCCCCTTTCCCAGGAACTGCAAGAAATTTCAGAGCTGTGGAAAAATACGGCTTTTCCTTCCTTTTAAACATCTCCAGCAGGACACTCGCCGGCACCTCGGCTGGCCTTTGGCTTCAGCAGTGACCTGTGCGATGGACAGGGGCTCCCCTCCAGGTGAGCCCCTCATCCACTGCTGTGGCACTCCCAGCCTGCCTCCCCGGAGCCCCGAGGCGGAGAAGGGGGATGTAAACCCCCTCCGAGGTGGCAGTGGAGGGGGTTGGTGGTCCCCCACCGCACCCCGGGAGGGGAGAGGTGCTAACCCCCCCCGACGTTCTCTCATCGCACTGTGGCTCCTGCTGCTGTACGTTGGCTCCTTGGCTTGTTAAAAATGACTTTTTAGAGGCCAAAAATGAGTATTTAAAGGCCAAAAGGACTTCTAAAGCAGCTTGGCTGAACATCCCCCGAATACCTGGGAGCAGGCGAGGGTTTTCCAGGGAGGCGCATTGCTCCCGAGCTGCCGTGGAAGTGGCTGGGGCGGAAGAGCTGCTTTCCTGCCGGCTGCTTCTGTTTGCTGTTGGAGGAGCAGACTGCAAACGGAGACAAGAAGAGGCGTTTTCTCAGCCAAGAAAAAACCCAAGGCAATGGTGTCGCCTGAGGTTTTGGCCCCCCTGCCGCTGCCACCCCCCACCTCGATCCAGTCCTTCCCCTTGCTGTGGCTTGCCACCATCTCCATCCCGGCCGTCCTCTCGCCCAGCTCCATCCTGGCCTCCACGCAGGGCAGCGGCGGGCAGCAGATCCTCCACGTCATCCACACCGTCCCCTCCGTCAACCTGCCCAGCAAGATGGGCAACCTCCAGACCATCCCCATGGTGGTCCAGTCCCTCCCCGTCGTCTACACCACCATGCCCACCGACGGCGTCACCGCCATCACCGTACCCCTCATCGGGGGGGACGGCAAGAACGCCGGGTCCGGTAAGGGCTCGTGGAGGGAAACCTTGACGTTTGGGGGGCTGGGGGGAGTGTCCCCCACCTCGCAGAGTGGCAACCCTGACGGGGATCTGATTTTTCCACCCTAGGGTGTTCTCCCCACTTCTACCACTTTCACCCAAAGCCCCCCCAGGGCACTCGGCCCCCAGCCTGTGCCTCCAAGGGTACACAGGGAAGGCAGGGGACACATGGGCATGGTGCTGCTTGCCCTGCCTGCCTGCCACCCATCCCGCTGCTGGCAGCCTGCCTGCTCTTCCCACTGGCTGCCCGCTGACAGCGGCTCTGGTTTCAGGTCAGCTGCACCCCACCCCGTGACCCCCCCATTCCCTTCCCCAGGACATTCACAGCTTCCCATATTATCCGGGGTGGGAGGGCTGGATGTCCCCTCCTCCAAGCAGGAGCAGGCAGCCAAAAGGGGTGCCTCCCCAAGTCGTTCCCCCACTTCTGTGCGCCCCATGGTGCAGGGGGCTTCTCCATCTCCCCAGCTTGATTTTGGGGGGGGGGGGGGTGGGGGAGCTTTTGGGGCACTAGGGGGAAGGTTTTCCCTCTAGTGCAGGGGTGGGTTTTTTTGGGGGGGTGTGTCTGTTCTCTGCTCACAAGCCTCACCCCCTCCCTCCTTGTTTCTCAATAGCTTTTCTTTCCTGCCCCCCACCAGTGAAAATTGACCTGGGCTCCATGTACCCCATGGACATGAACAGCAACAGCGAGGACAGCGCTTTCCAGGACCTCCAGAGAGAGTGAGTCTCCTCGGATGTCCCCCCACCCTGTCCCCCTCCCCGTGTCCCCGGGTGCCCCGCGGGGTCCGTGGGTGCGGGGGCCGTGCCCTCCATCCCTCCCTCCTCCCGGCAGGCCGGCGGCGCGGGGGCAGCGAGCCGATTCCCCCGACCTGAAGAAGCGGCGCATCCACCAGTGTGACTTCGAGGGCTGCAATAAGGTCTACACCAAAAGCTCCCACCTCAAAGCTCACCGGCGGATACACACGGGTAGGGGCCAGCGCCACATGCCCCCCTGCCCAGGAGGGTCAGGATCAGTGCCGCCGGCTCCCGATGGGCTGGGGGCACGTGGGATGGGCTGCACAGGGCGATGTTGGTCCATCCCTGGGCTCAGGTGTGGCCCTTCTGGGGTGCCCACACCCTGTGCCAGGGCTGGGGGTGGTTCTTTAGGGGCTTGGGGAGGCTTTTCGGGGGTTGCTGCCAGGGCAGCTTTTGGGGGGCTCAGGAGTCTAGGGGTGCTGGCAGCCTGTGTCATGGGTTTGAGGGTGTTTGGGGGCTTGGAGGGGCCCTTTGGGGGTGCCAGCACCCTCTGCCAGGGGCTGGGAGGGGTCATTTGGGGGCTCGAATAGGCCCTTTGGGCATGGTGGCACTCTTTGCCAGGGACTTGGGGGGCCCTTTGGAGGCTCAGGGTGACCTTTTGGGGGTGCTGGCACCCTCTGCTAGAGGCTGGGGGGCACTTTGGGAGCACTGCAGGCCTTGGGGGCACCTGGGCTCTGTGCTGGCCCTTTGGGGGTGCTGGTACCCAGGGCCATGCCCCGGGGACCCTCCTGCCCCCCACCCCCTGGTCTGGTTATGGGGCGCTCCCTTGGTGGCCCTGCTGGGGCTCCCCCCTCCTCGCCACCCCCCAGCACCCTGGGGTCCCTCTGCCATCGTGGGCTCCCGGAGCCCCCATCGCGTGCTTGGCACCCCCTGGGCTGGCACCCCGGGACCTCGTGGGACCCCAGACCCTGCCGTGGGGTGCCACCGCGGCAGGCCCCCGGTGGGGACGGTGGGGTGCTGCCACTAGAGCCGCAGGCGGAGGG